GGCGGTTGCTAACAAGTGTCTAAATGAGACGACTAAACGTCATCACGCCCAACATTAGCCTCCTTTAGCTTAGCGGTGGGGACGTGAAGTCATGTGACCGTGCTGTAGTTCCTTTATAGCCCAACATTAGCCTCCTTTAGCTTAGCGGTGGTGACGTGAAGTCATGTGACCGTGCTGTAGTTCCTTTATAGCCCAACATTAGCCACCTTTAGCTTAGCGGTGGTGACGTGAAGTCATGTGACCGTGCTGTAGTTCCTTTATAGCCCAACATTAGCCACCTTTAGCTTAGCGGTGGTGACGTGAAGTCATGTGACCGTGCTGTAGTTCCTATAGCCCAACATTAGCCGCCTTTAGCTTAGCGGTGGTGACACTATCAGTGATCCAAACAGCCCATTTGTGTGAGTTGTTTTAAATTCAATTGCAATGCACCGTGTTCCCATACAGCAGGACGGGCCTAGCAAGCTGTAACTAATAGAACAATCTTATCACAGCTCGGCAACACACACACACACACACACACACACACACATGGATACACTCACACACCGTTGGCTGCTCAAGGTCGTGGTGAGATTTCTAGGAAATGTGCCGATAAGCAGCATGAGAAGTGAAGGTTAAAAGGTTCAGGACGGGAAAACACACCATCAGTTCATCCACGGCTAATTAATTATGACTCCTTCATTTAATTACAGAACACAGAATTAAGTTTCTCATCATTTCTTCTGCCTCTTTTCCCTTTCTTTGCATTGAATATTGAGAAAGAATGAGAAAACTGAAGATCATGGTGGTCGTTTGAAGGGCATTTATCCTTATTTCCCGATATTTGATCAACTAAAGCTCTATTGAATATGTTTATATAGAAACAGTAATATACATTTCTATGGGGTTCATTTTAAATGTGTAATAGCCAAAAACAATTGGCTAAAAAGGGACAGAAATATGTACACTAAAATATGAATAACAAAATAAAAAAGTTATTTGAAAAAGAACTTAATCAAAAGGTAAATATAAACAGATAGTACACATTTATAAATTACATTGTGAGAAGAGGGCAGATGATCTAAAGTGCAAATACTTCATCAAAATGTTTTTTTAAATAATAATTAACACATGAATAGATAATAAAGATAATCCTTATTTACAGACTTAATGTAATATTGATTATACTTTGTCCTACTATCAGGAGGGATTAGGGCACACCCTTCTGTCACACACACACACACACACACACACACACACACACACACACACACACACACACACACACACACACACACACACACACACACACACACACACACACACACACACAGAAGCTACAGGGGTTAGCAAGTCAGTCAGCACGTTGGTATCCTTTACACAAAGACAATGACAGAAGGTGTCTTGTGTTACAGCAGCTCAGATAACACACACCTGTTCCTACACACACACACACACACACACACACACACACACACACACACACACACACACACACACACACACACACACACACACACACATGCAGTAAAGGGCAGCACAGGGTATCCATTTGACGTTTTAAACACTGAATTTGTCTCGACCTCCCGACTAGTTGGCACCACCTTCGACTGTGTGTGTGTGTGCGTGTGCGTGTGCGTGTGCGTGTGTGTGTGTGTGTGTGTGTGTGCACGTGTGTGCACGTGATACAGGTACTGTATCCAGGCAGATTGCATTTATATCCCAGTGACACATCAAAATGTCCTGTACACACACACACAAACACACACACGTACGATGACAAACACACAAACACACACACACACACACGGTTAATGTGGATTTAAAATAGTCCCTGACGAATGCACTTTTTCCAGCTCTTTTATGGAGTAACTGAGGTTTCTGTGAGGTGACACATGCCAAAACTACCTGTACAAATAAATTACAGCTTTCAATATATAATAAATATATATAAAATAAATATATATAAATATAAATTATAAATATAATACCTTTATCAGAATGAATTTGGAGTTTAAATATAATACCAAAATAGTTCTAAATCAAAAACTAAGAATTCAGTTCTCTATAGTTTCAGACCAATAATATTTTTTAATTATGTATAATATTTGACCGATATTTCAACAAAGATGGCCGCCCTACCTCAGCGGACACCCTGGCGTTTTCCAGCCGGAGGCGTGTCCATACGGCCGGGTGCCTAGCAACGAACAGCCAATCAGAGCAGACCTCGGCGGCGTGCAGCAGCGAGCGCACGTCCAAATATGGAAACACGCAGAAAAGACCCGCCCTCAAACGCAAGATGTCCGCCAGGTGAGGACGCGCTGGTGAAAGGGATGCATCTTGAGAAAGAGGAGGGAGAGGAGAGGCTTTTATTCTGAAGGAGCCACAGGAAGTGATGCAATAACATCAACAAATCAAACAGTTTACCTGAGCCAGGTGTGTTTTTCCGGGCGAAAACGAGCCTCCTGATCTCAGCGCTGCACCAGAATTCTTCCTCTTCCTCCTCTTGTTCTTCTATTTCTTCATGCTCCTCTTCCTCTTCTTCTTCGGTGCTGTATTGGCGAAGGTTTCTTTTGCTCCACGTCCTCTGACAGCCTCCCTCCTGCTCCCTGGAAACAGAAGAGGAAGATCCTTTTTACATGTATTTAACGCATCTAAAACACATAATTGTTGTACCCATGCAGAAGAACAACAAAGATGTATATTAGCTGCTACTAGCACAAACCACTGCTGCATTGTGGGTAATATAGGCGCCATGGCTAATGTTATATAAATGATCTTCAGACCATTGCACCTTTTATTTTCTTGCAAAATACTTAACCTATAAATCCTTCAAAACTAGAAGCTCTTTAAGACTGCACTACGGGAATTAGCTTAGCATGCTAACTTCCACTATAAGTCGGCGTATTTTAGTCTAAATCTGCTAAATGTACACTTTTTTTTACGTACCTCGGTCTCTCTTTACCTTCACTTCTTATATTTACATAAACAATTATATTTATTTTATTTTAACTTATATTATTTTATTATTTCTGAATCTATTATAAGTAAAAATGTGTCTGCAGCCTTGCTAGCATCTTGCATGAGACTGTTCTACGGGAATTAGCTTAGCATGCTAACTTCCACTATAAATTGGTATATTTTAGTCTAAATCTGCAAAATGTACACTTTTTTTGTACGTACCTCTGCCTCTCTCTTCTGGTCCAGGGTGGAACATGTTGTTGGAGCCCCCCCTCTTCATCCCATCCTCCAGATCCCAGGGAGGAAGTCCGCATCAGACCAGAAACACCACTGCAACATGGAGAGGAACATTAAACCTAGATAATGTAAATGTATTATTATTATTGCATTATCAGAATCAGAATTAGAAACAGGTTTATCGCCAGGTGGGTTTACACGTACGAGGTATTTGACTTGATGTCATAAAAAATAACATTAAATAATATCAGAAATATTTACAAATATAGTCAAATATTGCAGTATTTACATAGAAATAGAATAGGAATAATGCTCTGAGTTATTAGGGGAAAAGTGCAAAATTACGAGAACATTTTTCAAATTATTCTTAAAAAATGAACAATATAATTTATCTTATGGTGCAAACGTGATACTCGTGATGCGTTCAGGTACCTGTAGGGATGTTGGCTGTACAGCTGCTCCCCCAGTCTGCAGGAACCCGACACGCTGTAACTCCTCTGCAGGAATCAGGGAGAGGACGTGTCAACAAATACTTTATGTATTAAATATTTGAATACCGTAATATACAGTATATTAATATATCTGTGTTTCTCACCCTGTTTCCGATGCTGCCCTGCATCTTGTCTGCCAGGACGTCCTCAGTGCTGGCGTCCAGACTGCGCCCCCCCCACCCGACTGCAGGTGTGTGTCCATGTGTGTAGGGGTGTGTGTAAGGTTCAGTGTGTGTGTACAGATGTGTGTGTGAGCTGGCCAGCAGTAACTGTCTCTCTGCACGGTCAGCGCGAGCCAACAGCGTCTCGATGAACACCTGAAGACAACAGCAAGGGGTTAAAATTCTGGGTTGGAGGACTCACAATGCTGACTCGTTTCAGGGTTCAGGACTCATTCCTGCATCTCTCTATAGAAGACCTTAGATCACCTGTAGTCTGGATTTAGCCTCTGCCTCTTTCTCAGCAGTTTCCCTCAGAAAAGACTCAATGTCCACCATCTCCCTGGAAACACACACACACACACACACACACACACACCC